ATGTGAAGGATCAGCTTCTTGTTTTGTCAGAATGGAAGCCTCTGATGCTACTAGATCAAAGAATAATGAATTTTGATGAAAATGTCTTTGAGTCTTTGAGCCTTTAGTCTACTGTTTTTTTTCCTCAACATGTAGTTATTTCTCAAAAATTAAAGACCCGATCCTGTTACTTTTTATCCTATCTCAGTTCTTATGTTCCAAAGAACAATTAACATAATTTGTTATCTTATGTTTCAGCATTAAACTTTCATCAGGGAATTGATCTTGACACACGAAAAGATAAAAATCAAACTGAATTTATGGTAAATCCTTCCAAGTAGAGGCAATAGTATTGGCACAACTGTTAGGGTCTCTAGTCATGCGTGGATTCTCAAGTAGCGACAGCACTTTACAGCAAAGTGTAATCAGCCTAATGACCCAGAAATCAATGATAATTAATTTCCAATGTTTGGCTGTCTGCTTATAGATAGTTTCAGAACCGAAAGGCAAATCCAATCCACTGGCAAGGGTGGCATGTTGATTGTCTGAAGTGGCTGTGCTGAGACCAGCTGAGGAGGACATTTGTTATATAACGAGGATAATCACCAGGATTAGGAGATGAAATTTCAGAGAATCTGAAGTTGCACAAAAACACTATTTACAGAACACGGGATTATATAAAATCATTAAAGGCTCTTTTGTGTTGAAGTATAAATACTAGAAATAGAAGCAAATTTCAAATATTTTTTATTTTGCTTATTAATAATACCTATTCAGGAAATCAAAACTTCCACAAACAAAGGTACTGTTTACTCATGCCATTTTTAAACTACTCATATCATATGCTTAATATAGGCACTGCACTGTGGTACAGCTATGAAAAGTCCCATTTATGATTAATGCAAACTCATTCTATTTACATTTTTATGATGTGCTATGTACTTATATCGGGCAAAGTTATGTAATCTTATATTAATTTACTTCAAAAAAGAAAATGCTCATTTGTGACAATTTTTACACAGAATGTGTGTACACTTATTTTGCTTTATAAAAACTCATTTTGATTTTAAACTAAAGAATGTTCTTTTCGTAAATAATGTCTCATACTCCTGTGGCATTACCTGTTTGATTACTGCAGTGGTCAGTTTTTAAGTCCAAATGCAGTTGACTTCGCCTGGCATGCATGTCTTGATTCTGGTTGGTCAGTTCCTTGTGAGGCATTTTAGGAGAGGCAATGGTGTGGCGCCTGTTTGCATTCACAATGACCATCTTTTTGGTTGGACTACTTGGTCTCTCAAACGAAACTGTCCTCCTTGGTTGTTTTCTATCTGCTGTTGCAAAATAATGGTTGAGAATTCCAGAGTGGGGATTTCCAAGTTCTATGAATGTTGTCTCCTGTTGTTCGAGATTCTCGGTGTTTGCATGGGCAGGGTTCATCTCTACCATGGAGGCATCCAGGTCAAAGTAATTGCACAGATATTTCATGTTACGAAATAGAATAGATTGCTCAGAATCTCGTCTGCAGCAACAGTTTTCCTTGTTGTAGAACCAGTACATGAATGGAGTCACGGTGGAGTTGCTCCACGCAAACAATGTCAACACTTTATACGCCATGTCTGGTGCCAAGAAATCTCTGTCCAGTACTGTGAGCATAAAAAGTGGGTACCAGTACATAACAAACAACATAGTCATGGCCATAAGAATGTACAAGCGTTTCAGACTGTATTTTTCCAAAAGTTTGACTTGCTCTTTCTGTTTCTCGGCCTGGAGATCGGGAGTATCGTCCACCATAGGGTCAATCATGAGAGTAGCCCTGACCAGTGAAGCAGTTCTGTAATAAGATCTTTTCTTTATGTCTTGATGCAGACGTCTGAGGTGCATGACTGTTAGAATGATGGCCAGGGAGACCAGTGCAATCCATAGAACATGAAGGATATAATTTTTAGTCAGACCATACACAAAGATGCATATTCCAACATGTTCATCAAAGTCTGGATTACCCGGTAAGATTGCCACTCCCAAGTTTAATATGATGCTTGCAAGCCATATAATACATATACCAAAAACTACACAGTACCTGTTGCCTTCATGTTTAAGATGGACACCTAAGCTCTTGTCACTGCTCTGGTAAGCTTCGTTCACAACCATTGCTAACAAGTTGAATGCTGAAGTTGTGATGAATATGATGTAAGAACTTCCCATGATGTTGCAAAGTCGAGGACGTAGAGATGTCAAAACACTCTGTGCAAAAGGAATGCAGTATGCAGACTTCACAAGGTCCAGAATGCAGTGATGAGCCATGAAAGCGTTAGAGGATTTACGTAATCTTTTCACCACAATCATGGAGACAAAAGAGCTGATATTTCCAACAACCCCAACAGATGCTATGATGATGAGGACAACTGCTTCTGTGAGGCGTCCTGGTTCTATGGTTTCTTTATGACGAATGCCAGTACCATTATAGTGGACAGACGACATTGTTATCTTCAAAATAATTTTTTACTTCACAAGTTTTTAAAAAATCTCCCTGTTCTTTTTTCTTCTACATAAAAAAACTGTCGTTTTGTAATCAAATGATGATCATTTGTAGAAATTGTTTCATTTTCCCCATGAAGTCTGATGTTATCTCTGCAAAATGAAAATCTGATGTACCGTTGTCATGCTGCTAGTTTGAAACTGTTCTTACCTTTTCCGTTCAAATCCTTTAAGTAAGAACATGAATAGCATTTCTGACTGGTTCTAATGAGGTGTGCTAAGCAGTTTCCAAGCACTATTTTCAGTCTAACATCTTTTTGTCCTTTGTGTATTGTAACTGTTAGGTTAGTTGAGGCAGTTAATTACATTGGTAGTCCTTCTCATCAGTCCGAGCCTCTCACTAATCCATTGATTCTTATTCGCTGCCAAGTGTCATGTGGTCCCTTAGTCTCAAATGCAATTCTTGGTCATCCTTCTGAAAGAGAAAGAAGTTATTCTATTTGACACATTGGCAACTTAGAAAATATTTGAGTAATTCTCTGAAGGTTGTGTATACATGGTGCTGTGTGTTGTACCATGGTTATTTAATGTAAATGCCAAGCTTGGAATATTGGGGTTTTCATTGACACCAAAGGAAATGATCAAGTGAAGTGATCACATTTTAAGACTTCTTAGAAGTGCACAGTTTCCTTTTGAACAGAATTGGCTTTTTGTTAGCTGAAATTTCAAAGAACAAAATTAGGTTAAGACCTTAAATAAATTCTACTTTGAAAAGCCTCTATGTATTTATGGAAGCATTCACCTTCAGAATTATATTAGGCTTCCGAGATTTTAGGTTGTTGTCCTGACATAGTACCAGATAGTTGTTTGCAGAAATACACTGTAGTTAATACTTTATAGCTAGACTGGAGAGACAGAAAGACTTACCATATTTCATATAATGACAACAATTCAGCTCTAAATATTCTTGAAATTAAAGTTGTGTTGTGCTTCCTCTGCTTTGTGCTGCAACTGCTAGTGGTCATGGCTGTCAACCGATTTTATGTGTAGTATTGCTAGGTACTCAGTAATAAGTCGGTGAAAAGTGTTTTAACATGAAATTTTCTAAGCGATAACCATTGGTTACTTATGATCAATGATAGATTTTGTCTGCCGGCTGAGTTTAAAGGATTAGGGAAAGTGATTTTGAAGCATTGGCATTGAGGAGAACTCTGCAAAATCAATGCAATTTTCGTGTTTGCTAGAGAAATTAATCCTGAAATGGACAGTCTAATGTGGGGGTGTTCTATAAAATCATGGTGCACAACAGAAGTGCCTGTTATTTTTTTTTTCTGAAATTTTTCTTGAAATTTAATGGAATATTTTTGAAGAAAAAGCTGATATTAATGTCTTTGTCAAAATTATAATTTTAGTATTGTTATATTTTTAGAATGTTGAAGTTGTGGATGGGAAGTTTTTATTTTATTTAACTGATCTGAATTACAAGTACAAATTAAAAAAAAAATGATGGTAAAGCTGATAATTTTGTATAAATTTTAAAATGTGTAAGTTATTTCGATCTGATTCTATTCAAAGGTCCACACATTACGCAAAGTGTGTCTAATCCTGTTAGTCATCTAAAGTGTGCAATTAAACAACAACAGTCATAAACATGCAGATCTGCATCCTCAGAATCCCTCGGCTCAGGTTTACTTCTGTCTGAACATTGCGTGAATGCAAATACTGCTTAGTGAGTAAACAGCAAAGCAACTTTCTATGTGCAGTGCATCAAGTTATGGACTCCCAGTGCTCCAAATGAGCATTATTTTGTATTGATTAAGTAAACCAGATAATTGATAGGACTGTCAGTGTAGGGAGGCATGCAGATGCTACAGTTTGAGCTAACCATTGATTTGTAGTTCATAGCTGATAATTTCAACCAGCCTAATAAAATGGATTATTGAGCATTGTTTAATGGTTATGTTTTTATCAGGCATTAATGTGGAAGTTCTCAGATATGGCCCTGGGATGTGGTGATAACTGAATTATCTTTTATGGATCTTACTTTGATGTCTCACATACATTGCAACTTTATTTTTGCATACTTTGGATATTTTGTTTGTTTTCCTGAAATGCCTTTTACCAAAGATAGAATAATATAAATGTCCTTGACAAACATTAAAAATGAACTTATTTTGTTTGACACAATTGTCAAGAACTATTATGTATATCATGTTTATAGCTATTTGAATCAGTATTCAGCTTATTCTGAGTCTTTGTCCATTTTTTTTTTCATAGTCTGATTTGAGCAGAAAGTTGGGGGACATTGCTGCTAAGATTGTAGAGCAAGGATCTGTGATGGTCAAGATTTTGCTGACCATTGGATCTAACCCAGAAGAAAATGTCCAAAAGTCACAAACTTTACTGAGTCTGATGGCACAGTATAGGGAGAATACATATAAAGGTAGAAATATGTTCACATTTAAATATTTTCCAAGCTGCATTGCCAAGAGATTAATATAAAAATTTAGTTTAGCAAGTCTGCTTTACATTATAGATTTTAACTATGAACTTCACATTTTACATGTATTTTGCATAAAAGATGTCCTACTACTGTATCTTTCCTAATGTTTTGAGCATTTATCAGGGGCATAGAAACTTTGTAATATTGATCCCAATGTTTCAGACAAAGGAAAGGGTGCCCAGGAAGAGGCTGAATATGTGAAAGGGAGGTTTAGAATTTTATTCAAATTACTTGGACAGCTACAGGAATTACAGCAGTCAGGTGAATTTATCTGTACCATAACTTGTTATATTTTTTCTTGTAACATTTTCAGTATTTTTGTTATTAATAGGGAGATCAGTAAAGTATCTTAAGTTCTTTCACATTATTAATTTGTAGTGATATTTGTCTACCCGTTCAAAATATTTTCCTTTACCCTACTATGTATAGATAAGACTCGCTTTAATAAAAAGCGTGAAAAGAAATTTTCAAATCTTCCTAGGAGATCTTCAGGACCTGGCAAGTGAATTGTGTGTGCTGGAGAAGAAGATGACTAAGGAAAATGTCAGCGGAGTTGGTGGAAGGTTTGAGTGGGTGGATAGTCAGTTTGTGCGTGCTCTTCAATCAGGCGACTGGCTGCTAATTGACAATGTTAACTTCTGCAGGTATGCAACATTTATCAAGAATGTGGGAGCATTTCAGTAGATAGTGTTTAAGTTGACTGTGGAAGCAAATTGCATTTATTTTATGGTATTGAGTTCATTTATTTATAATGTTGTTTCTTTTCATGTTTTTTTCTTCAAATAAATGGATTTGGTTTCTTATCAAAATTCTAAATGTCAAAGCTTAAGGTAAATGTTATGTATGTGAGCTTCCACAAAGCAGCATTGCCATGATGGCAATTTTCTGAAATCCCATTAATAAAGTTTCTTTAAGGACATGTCCTGAAATGTTAAGTTTACATATCCTATAAAACCAAGTTGCTATTTTTGAAACTTGATAACAAGTCTATACGAAAAAAATCTATTAGCATAACTCATTGCCACTGACAATATGTAGATTGAATTGTTTCATGAGTTTGCATTTTCCTCATTCTAATCAAGTCTTTTCCCTCCCTTCTATTAATGATTCGTAATTTCATTAACTTTGAAATGTGATTATGGATCCTTGGTGGTCCCAGAGTATTAATGGAAAGTGAAAGATGGGATGCTGTGCTTGTAGACCCCAGCTCCTCTGACAGGTCTATGATGCTTAGTGACCGGATTTAATGAAATGCAATATCCTAAATGTTCTTACATAGAAAACCTTTTAAGGATGTGTGTACACGCAGGAGATAACGGGCGGGATTGTGCATCGATACTATAGAATTGAAACACATTTCTTGAAGTATGCCAGTTGGGTGTGTTTGAGTGCAGCTTGAATAATCAAGTACATTTGGGTACTTGGTTCTTAAAAATCTTTCTGCTGTTGAGTATCAAGGAATCGTGATTGATTTCATCAAATCTTTTATGAGAATATGATTTTGAAATATCAGAATTTTTTCTTGAAATATTTGTCCAACTAAGCAGCATAACATTTAATAATGTAATTGTTGCCTGATTGTATTTAAGTTCTTTTGTAAATATATAGTAAAAAGAAACTTATCATAATTTTTTTTGTCTGCTTTTAGCCCCTCTGTCTTAGACCGCTTGAATGCCCTACTGGAGCCTAATGGGGTTCTCAGCATCAATGAAAGGGGGGTATTAGATGGGGAGGTACCCACCATTGTCCCACACCCAGACTTCAGGTAATGTCACACATTTACTTTATCTTTAATAATATATTTTTATCAAAGAAAGCCTCAAAAATGCAGAGTTAAACTGCATTACAGATCACAAAGGCATATGATAAAATGAACAACTTAGGCTTATTTTTTTCTTTCAAAAATGTGCACAGTTCATGAAACATACAAAACTATACAGACATATTTGTTGTGAATATATGACAACTGTCTTTAGATACTGAGAAGGCAGTTTCATGATTTCATTCAGATTGATTCTTGCCATGGATCCCAAGCATGGGGAGATTTCCAGAGCTATGAGGAACAGAGGGGTGGAGATATACATTCTTGGAGAGGTGAGCCTTTTAGTTGGAGAATATAATCTCAAGTGCTATTGATTTTTCTGTGTCCATCATGTCTGCTAAAAAGATGTGAAGGCAACAAATACAGTTTTTTTAATTGGTATGAAAAGTGATTTTGGACTAAAAGTGATTTTGAATTTTTTACAGGAGGAAGGGGTCTGTTATGATGACCATGACATCAAGACCATGCTTCACGGTCTAGGCCTGGTGGGTAGAGTGCCCTGTGATACCCTCATGTCCATCCACATGGAGATTAAAGAAAACACATCCAGTTTTGACAGGCCATCCATCCTGAGTGTCCTGCAGGCAGCCTCACTGACTGTACAGAATATGGAGAGAGGGGTGGACCTGCAGGGGAGCCTGCTGTTAGCATGTACTGATGTGTATGTCAGGTGTCAGAAGAACTTTGAAGATAGACAGGTGGGTGTGTGTATATGTGATGGAAGAGAGTGGGTATAGAAGACTTAATTCTGTAAGAATACAAGTTGCCATATTCTGCAGTCCAGTCTATACAAGTGTCTCTTCTATTTGTTTAACATTTTTCATTTTTATTTTTAAGTTTGTCAGAAGATAGAAATGTAACAAAAGTTTTGATAAATAAGGTTTTGATAAATAATGATTGTTGCATTACTGCCCAAATTTTTTTCTTATGGAGTGAACATACTGCTACATTTTTTACAGAGAGCCAGAGATCTTATTTCTGCTCATGTCATTGCCCTTGATATGCTAAAGATAGAGCAAAGGGAGCAACGGTCAGCTCTGCTAGAGGCAGGAGTTTGGCCC